TTTTAGAAGTTTCTTTTTTAAGCTGTTACCGCCTGGTACCAGAACGTCGCACTTAAGCACAGGGCAGGAAAGGACAGAAAGCAGAGCTAGTTTTATCTTGCCTTTTTATTTATACTGATTCACTATCATTTTCTGTTATATCTTAGTTCCAGATAAAAGCTAAATGAAATTTTGGAAAAAAAGGAAGCATTAGGAGAATGAGGCGAGCATTAGAAGAACATGAGGATATAAGTTCATCTTTCGTGATCCATTAAATATTTATATAATAAGTCGCGCATTATTTAATGCTAAATTTTCTTTTTTCTTTTTACATTTTTACATTTTTATGGTTTATCAGCCATTTAGCTTGTTCGCAGTAAAAAAAGATAACACATTTTAATAGATTATCATCATCATTGCATGTTTTATGTTGTTTTTAGTTTTCTATTATAAGTAATATCAGTATTTCTTTCAGTTCAGAAAAGGTGCACCACTTACAATTGGTATATTTCTCTTTTTGAAACAGCAAATTTTTTAAAATTGATGAGATGAAGTAAGAGAAAAAATGTGTAGTGTTTTGTACGTATACAAAACAGATTCGAACCTGTTCTATACAAACAGATTCGAACCACAAACATACAAACAGATTCGAACCTGTTCTCTAATGAGGCTTGGATTCATGAGAATGATTATCATTAGGATAAGTGGAGATCGGTTAGGAAAAAAAGTTTTGTTAGGAAAAAAAAGTTTTTGAAATAATTTTGAAAGACGTAAAGTTTAGTAGTATTCAGATCACTAATACTCTTAATCACTGGATAGATTAAACTGGGAGTAGTGTCGACATTGCCTTCTGAAATTCAGTACTTCACTTTTCCGGTTTCTAATAAGATCATTATCGTAAAATGCACCGTGATGGATGATCGGAAATTTCGATTGTGATGCGACGGTGGTTGATATCAGTTGTTCTTGAAGGTTGTAAATCCACAATGATGGGAATTGTGTTGTAACATTTTGTTCTTATTGTGTCATATTTACTAGCCTACTATTTTTTTTTTTTTTGCAGAGGATACGGCGTTTAGTGATCCATTGAGCGATTACGCGGGTGATTTCGATATTGTACGATTTTTGGACGAGAACAGGTGGTTGCTTTCTTTTCACTTTTATAGCATTATCTACAAATTTCTGAAACTTTGGATGTTATTGAATTTTTTATAGTCTCATATTCTCTGTGGACCCCTTAATATTTCGCAGATCCTCTTTAATTACTCTTCAAAAAGATGACGTAGAGTTAAGGTAAAGGAAGTAGATCAAAACAGAAATAAATATCCAAGGACAGAACCTTGGAATTGCTAAGCTCAAAATGCACGAGTTTACGTTTCGGTCATCTTGGGTAATAAATCCAACCTGACCTTACGAGTTTGGAAAATATGCAAATAATAGATTGAAAAGGATGACAATAAGTAATTAAAATTTAATTCGATGAGAATTTGGAACTTTAAATGGCTTCATGAAGTTGTTGCCAATTATTCTTCCTTTTATAATTAATGTTACGTGTCATTGTTAGTATGCCTGAATTGTGTGTTAGTATAATAATTTTAAAATGTCGTAAGGAGTGCTGTTCCATTTTACTAATATCTTGTACAGAGTTAACGGTGAAACAATTGCGATTATTGGAATCAGAAAGTGATTTAGGAATACGAAATTGAGGAGAACGAGAAAAGGAAAGATAAGGAGATGGAAAAAAAAGTATAGATGGTGCAGTATTAGAGTAGGAGTTTCTTAAAGATATGATATCAGAAATGTCATGGTTTACTAAAAAATTATTCTGATATGACTAGAATTTTTTGAAGATTTTGTTTTGAGAGGAGAAAAAAAAATTATCAGATTGGAACTTTTCTTTTTAACTTTCACAAAAAAATAGAGCAATTCTGATAACAACAGTGGAAATAATTCTTCATGTGCTTTTGGATTATTTCGAGTTTTTTGATTGTCTATTCGTAGGGGAAAAACCTTTTTACTATAGAAATTTCATACGTAAACATTCAGAGTGTAGTTAATACAAGTTCTGAACTGTAGAGAAGTTTGTAAGTGTAGCATGAAATGATTATTTTAATGTAAATATTACGGCTGGTTAGAAAAAAAATTGTAAAGCCGTCTCGTAATACTAATTAATAACCTTTCACATTTTTTTTCTCACATTTTTTACGATGGAAATTTCTTTTTTTGAATATGAAAAAATCATACAGAATACATTTATAAAACTATTAGAATAAGCAGATATTTGTATCTGCACGCTTTTCCTAATTCAGGTAGTATTAGTTCCTACGGACATAAAAGTTCAATGACTAATATACCTGAGCAATTTTTTATTTTGAAATTTGAAGTATACGCTTCCTTCAATTCGAAATTAATTGTATGGCTGTACTTTTCATCTGTCATTGCTACTATCATCATTAGGATCAAAAAGGACTGTAGTTTTGCAGTACCCCGATTGACAGCCCTGTAGCAGACACTACTCGGTTCATATCGCAACAGGTACAAGGTCATCATCATCACCATCATCAGCAACAACAACAATCGCAGCAACATCATTATCAGCAGCAGCAACAACAACAGCATCACCCGCCACTGCCGCAATCGCATCAAAACATCACAACTGTTGCAATTTCCGAAGCGGCCAACAAAATGATGTATCAAAATCCAGCTAGGTCAGAGTTACTTTTTAACCGCATAATGGATATATTCCTAGGTCAAGTTAAAGTAGGATTTCTAAATAATGAAATTCTTAAAATTACGAACTGTGGTGTTTCAAGATTCAATTTATTCAGATCGGTCATTTCATATGATAGAGTTTTTTCTCTTTTTTAGAATTTTTTGAAGAAAATGAGAGGAGTGGTAGAAGTTTTTCAAAATAATATTTGTCACTGAAAATCTAAAGCGAATAATGGAAAGGGCAACTGAAAGAGATAGGAGGGGACTGAGGAATGTTGCGCAAAATTAATTATTCCATTTGTATTGCTTGCATTTGTATTGCTTTCTGCAGATATCCAAAAAATCATTAAACGAGAGATAAGGAGAAATGGGAAAGAAATGAGAGAGAGGGCCACGGAATGGAGCTATCTAATAGGGTTGATTTAGTAAATTCATGGGAGGTACCATCGTATCTCTTCCTTTTTTTTTCTATCATTCTTCCTCAAGCTTCAAAAGTTTCTTCAAGCACATCGCTGAATGCTTTATTTGAAATGTTTGGAAGCAGTGGACCAAATCGGCATGGCAACTGTTGCATTTATTCATTCGTCAAATGACCACTCCCGTTTTATTCCCATCCCTGCATTTTTTTTTATTAGAAGAAGATGGGGAGTGGTTCCTGGCACTGACCGAAACCATCTCTTCGTCCATTTTGTTGATTATTTGTTCACATCGCCTAATTCGCTGATAACTTGCTTGTCTATATCAGTTCACTTGTTAATACTTAATATGAACTATATGATCGTTTTGCAAATAAAATTTAATTTTTTTCATCAGAACTAATAGTTCATCGTTTGCAAATGTTAGATTTCAATTATTAGTGGAGGTTGATATGCCCGCCACACACTTCAGTTTAGGTATCAAAAAACACTTTTTTTTTTTTTTTGTGGGCTTAAACCAATATATCTGTAAAATCTGCAATAAAAGTGAGCAAATGCATAGAATAGATGGAATTAATTCAAATTTGATACATTCTTCTTTTGTCTGATTTGTAAGTCTGAAGTGGGACCTGCTGAACTATGCTGAAGTGAATTAGGTAGTTTAAGGTCATTCAGATATGAAATAAACTACTTCTGGGGTGTCGTTGCGCTTAAATCTGGGATGAATTGGGCAGTTTTAGTTGTCTAAATTAAATAATTAATTTTTTATAAAAGATCTAAGTTTTTATGTTTTTAAAGCCATTATTCATTTATGATTTCGTCGACTATCTTGAGCACTGTTTATCCTACTTTAGATTACCTGACAGTCCACCAATCACGGATATCTCGGGTGCTGGTTCGTCAGGCTCGCCGAGCTCTGCTTCAGATTCACCATATTCTCCAGATAATTATCAGAATTATCAGCGTAAGTCTAATTATTTTCAACTTTTCATATATTTTCAGACTTTTTTTTCAATTCGACCTAAATTTTTAACGAGGAATTGAAATTCTTGGATGAATTTTTGAACTGTAGGGAGAACTGGTAAACCAGTTACAAAATTAAACAAACCAGCGAAGTTTTGTAACTTCTAATTACTCGAATATTATGACTACACTGTTGGACATGAGGAAATGTTGGAGACACTCTCTTATGGCATGGTTGTAATTTTAATCATCTGATTATCCAGCTATATTAGGAATGTTAATAGCTCTCTCGTTCTAAAACCGGGTAAAGTTCTCGCTAGGACTTATGGAAATATAAAACGGTAACATTTTGATTCTCTCCATTCATACATGAACCATACTAAAGGCCAAACTGAGATCAGTGAACATCAGTGAGCATAGCAATCTTATCTTGGCTGGAAAAATTTAGTCATGTTTTGGACATTGTGAAACATAAGAAAATTCAATGAAATGACAGGGATTCGAGTAAACGAAGTTTTTTTTATAGTTAAAAGACCACCCTGAAAGGTAATGGGAGAAATACGACCACGATTCGCGATTTTTAAAATAGTTGTTAAATGATGACAATTTTCTAAAGCGTAAAATGGATGAAGTGGCCTTCTTTCGTTCAGTTCACTTCTTTCACTAGTTCAAATAGAAAATGACCTTTTCCGTCTCTCGTAACTCAAGAGTCACGAGACACTTTTCATAGAGAATAAAAGTTTTTTTTTTATAAAAAATATATACCTACACTAAGTGCATAAATATAAAAATATATATGTTTATGTATATAAACATATATATAAACGTCTATGTATGTATTATATATGTACAGTATATTAGTATATAAACATTTTTACTCTCAGACGGATTCGTTCACATTTTTTTTCATAACGAGTCTCTAATTTAATAAAAATTGTTTTCATAATTTTTTCAAAACTAAGTAAGTGGAGGTCTTATACTATAAAGGAGGGTCAAAAAGGTCATTTTCTAAAATAAATTTATTTTATAAATGCATCTTCCTACTTATTATCTTGTAAATTTATATGTATATAATTTAAGGAAAGAGGGCTTAAGTTAGAATACGATGCATTATATTCTTATTTCCGAAATTTCGTTAATTAAAATCCAGTAGTTTTTCTGAAAAACTACAAATTCATCTTTTACGGATGTACACGTGCGCCTTATGTTGTTTTACATATTTGCATCAGTTTTCCAAATTACTTATTTTGTTGCCCAAACCTGAAATACTACAAAGACGATGGAAAAATTGATAAGAAATTTTAGTTATCCATGGTGCTCAGCAGAACGGCAATGGCCTGATTCTCGGTGTACGGCCTGATCTAGCGACACATATGTTGGTACCACAAGAGCTTCTGCAACAGAATCATCTTGGTAACCGTATACTACAACATGTTTTGCCTTCACCACAATCCGATTTCATCGGCAATAGTGGTGGATATCCGCCGCAGTCGACACCATCCGCATTACCTCAGGTATTCAATTCATGACTTCCTCTGAAAATACAAGGAAGAACAGTTGATACTGTACAATTTTGTGAATCTTTAGGACAACTTATGAATTCCAAAATCTGTTTACCATATTTATCTAAAATCTTACAGGTTTCACCGCCAACGGTCAACTTGCGACCTGTTAATAACAGTTATTTGATCCAGAATAACGATTATCAAATGGATCCCTATAGTAATGTTATCAGTTCCACAGCTAGTGATGGTGATGGTTCAGGCTCCCAAAGTGATGGCCAAGTAAGTCGTAAACGTGTGCGATCAGAGCAACAACCACCGCCACCACCACCACCACCACCATCACAGCAACAGCAACAGCAGCCTCATAATTCGGTACCAGTTAATGTGAAAAGTGAGCCTCAGAAGGTAGATTTATTACTTAATTCTTTGGTGATCTGTATAAGTTTTGAGGAAAAGCCGAGTTAAAACGGTTTTTCTATTGCTAAACTTTTGTAAAATTTCCGTGAACTCTATAAAATTGGAGGAAATCCCTGTTTTTAAG